GTTTATTTTGATAAGTGGGGGTGTTGTAATGCATCAAAATAATTAATACATAATATGCCGCTGCCTTCTATTGATAAGATATGTAAGCGGGTTAAAAATGTCATAAACAATAATCCTTGTCTATGTTTGTCTATGTTGTTTTTTTTTATAATTTAAAATAAAAGTCAGTCGTTACTTGTCACTTTCTAGCGTCGTTTCATTTTAATCACAATGCGATATAATATGTATATGCAAAATTATTCACACGTTAACTTAGTAAATGACGGCTTTAACCCCAAACAAAAGAAGTGGACGTATGAGTAAAATTACAATTTCCATACGATTGGTCTTCAATCAGTCAGATGCCAGTAGATATTCAGTAGGCTTTTCTGTACACTCTGGGTGTAGGCTAAATTCGAGTGAACGTCAACTGTATCAACGAAGTGCTCGGGATTTGCAACCGCATAAACAAACAAACGATAAACGAGCAATGTTACAAGAAATTCAAGTGTATTGATCTGTGATATGCCTCAATAGTTTCTCTCACACACATCGATAGCTGGAATTCGTATTCGTAGGCAACTAATTGAAGCAAAATTCTATAAGTGATTATTGAAATATTTGTAGAAATCTATTCCTGTCTCCATAAGTTGTAAATAGTACAACGCCTACACTAGTTACCTTCGTGATGAAATACATTATTAATCATTCAGACAGCCAGTCAGCAATATTCTGTACGTGATAAGTATTAGTTTAGTACACCGAGTCTGTCGACACGTTCACTAACTTGTCAGGCGCTGCCTTGCCAACACGATAATCTCATTGTATAGACACTCCAACTACTTCTATAGATATAACCTATCTCTTAACAAAAGCACATTCGTTCGATATAACGAACATTACGAGTCTAGAATAAAATGCAAAAAAATAAACGCGAGATTTATTCTTCAAATCAGAATAATATATTGCCTGAATAACAAAGATGATCAAATGAAACATCAAAAACACAATAAAAGACGAGCAAACGCTGCGATCGCATTTGCTTGTATGATAACGCATAGGCAGATATATTGTTGAGTTACGCTCAATACTATTTACTTGGTGATATTCTCCCTTGTGAAAATCTCTTAGATGCGATCATAAATCTCTTCGGTTGACATAATAGCGTAAAGGGAGCGGCCTGGATTTATGCATGTTTGATTTAGAGGGAGGTGAATGTTGTCATTTTACCGACGTTCTTACTAAAAATATGGTGCGCCTACTTTTACGAATATCATTCTAAAAGGAAAAGCGTAGGCACACGCGCTCGTTTCTGCACTGTTTAAATAAGTACATGAATTTTCATGAACGTTTCGGAATATCGCATACGTAATAAGGAGCTTTATAAAAAGTAGAGAGCATAATGCGTGTGTTCGGAACCGACCTCTCCACTTGAAAGTCGAACGTACCAAAATTGGTCTTCTAACAATTTGTGAATTGCCCTTGGCATGCTTACCTCGGAGCCAGATATCGTAAACTTCGTTTCTTATGCGCGTTTTCGTTTTATGATTTATTGTTAGGGCTCATTTTGATGATTGAATAATAAAAACTGCTCGGCCCGGTTCCACATTTACATTTGACTTTCATTTTACCACGTGAATTTTAATAAGATTTTTATAAAGAAAATATTTTTCTGCAACGATGATAGATTCGGTAGATAAAACGGGAACTGAGTACTTTTTATTTAGAATTTATCAGATTACATCTTAGTGGAAATTTATTTAACCTGACGATTGCAAAGAGAGGCTGACTATTAAATTTATTTGAGAGCCGGTCTTCGTTTATTGCGAGTCGGATTGGAATTGGAATATCCAGACAGAACAGATTAACAATTTTCGAATTCTAAGGACAGCCTGTGTTCTAAATTCAAGACACGATTCAAATTAAGTGATAAAGCGTTGAGAGTACGCCGCCTGCGCCCGGTTGTCACCCAGTTATACCCAAAGAAGCGACGTGCCCCTAGCCCCATTACGAGGAGCTGCACTGCAACAATTTCACAGAGGAAATTTTCTAGTGTATCAACAAATAAAGTGGTAATCAACTCTTGCTATACTTAGATACAATGTAGAATCGTATTTAGTTTGTAATGGAGTACACAGAAGATGTAAGAATTATAGGTAAAACACATTTTATACAACGTTGAGTCATATTAAAGCATGTCGCAAGATACAGAGAATATAAAATTTTGGAAGTAAATGATATTTTATAATAGCTGTTGCCCATGACTTCGTCCGCGTAGAATAGGAATTTTAGAACTTACCTTTTTTGTTTGAATGTTTCAAAACAAAAGTAGCCTATGTTACTCCTTAGTATATCAACAACTTGCCAATAAGATTTGCAAAATCGGTCCAGCTATTTCAGATATTAGCCAGTACAAACAGACAGACAGACAAACATTGTAATTCAAATGTTAATTTGGTAAGTGTATCGTATGTATATTCATATGCATGTACTAAAAAGCGGATATTTTAATATTACAAACAAACACTTCAATTTTATTTCTCTGTTATAAATGTATAGATGTTCAAGTTTTGCTTTGGATCTCGGAGCTTAATACTGAGCTGTCATATTTATACCCACTCGACTAATGAGGCTGGCTATATAGACGGTGTTTAAGTGTTTGTAGTTAATGTGTGATTAGGAGGAGAGGAGTCGTGACCGTGAATCTGATACGGAGAGCAATTTGTGGGTAAATATTGTCCTTGAATTGACAATCTTAATAACGTCTTGATAGAGTTCTGTTTAGATTGTGATCGTGTTGCATATTGTCAAAATAATGTTGTTGTTCGGAGTTGTGTTACTGTTGTTGAGTTCGGCTACCTTGATCCCCTGGGTTCAATCCTTAGATCAGTTTAAACACACAGTATCATTGTACTTGACAACGTTTCAGGTACGAAAGAAAACAGGTAACTGCCTCGTTAGCCGAGTGGTCGCAACTGCGACTACCAGGCAAAGGGTCTCGGGTTCGATTCCCGAAAAAAAATTTCAGTAGTAGCACGGGGTCTGGAATTGTGCTCGGTATATGACATTAGGCTCACCCCCTATCACATGGGACTCATAACATAAATAGTGAAAAGTGAGTGTTATATTGTACAGTGCATTAAGTGCCCTAATATACGGAAATGAAAATACGTGATGTTAGGTTATGTTACGAAAACAGGTAACAATTATTGACTATTGAGTCGTGTTAGGCTTATTAACTAATTGAAAAGTATGTGTACCATAAATCCACTCTATCAGAAACAAAAGACGCGACACTACACCATTAAATTCTATTGTAACATAAGGCACAAAACCATCTAAATCATCCAATAACATCAAAGATGATACAGTCAACAACAAAACAGAGAACGTCTCAATACATCTGAGTTTAATAACAAGAGATCCTCAAATAAACAGATCACGTATTGAACACGAAATTCATAATCGGCTATGGAACATAACCCCAAGATATTTGTAAGGGATAACGCGAAAACTGAAGGTGTTTATGATTTTATGACGCTACTCCATTCTCGAATACGGTTGTACAATAACAATAAAGTGTTACGACCGATCTGATGAGGAAAAAATGTCGTACGTTTTAGGAGAGGGCCTAATGATATTTTACTTTAATAAAATCCTCTAATATGAACATAAGCCATTGTTCGTATCGTATGTAAGCTTTGAAATAATGAGATATTTTAATAAGTTTTGAATGAGTATGCTGTTTGTATGTTAATGTTATGGTAGCCAGTGCAAGCTCGATAAGATTGTGTTTTGTTGAGAAAACTAAACTGTTTTATGTATTTTGAAAGTATACGCTCATAATCATACGTTTTTCGTTGTAGATGGCAGGAAAAGCATCTTCTAAATTATGCTCGTTTAGCTCAATTTCATACACTGAGTTCCACATTTATGCCGCTTAAAAATACTCATATTGATGTGATAATGCTGGGTATACAGTTAAATAAATCATTGTGGTAAAGTCCGAATTCCAATTAATATGTCGGTTAATATTTTTGGACATGTATACACAATCAGTAATCGAATAACACATTATTGCACATAACAAATTGCTACAAAAACAAATCTAAATGAACAACAATACAACATAAACTTCAAACACAAGCCAACAAACTTAACAAACTAAATATAAAAAGGTAGAAAAAAAACAATTTATTAAATGAAAATGTAATCAACACAAATTACAGGCTGGCGAACGATAATTGAATACGTCTTTATTAATATTTCAATTTACACACGCAAAGGACAAGAAATGATAGATTACTATCTGGAATATCTAAAAAAATATGGAGGGACGGACCAAGACAGGAGACCACAAAGAAATACAATACAAGGAAATTGTCTCTGAATATAATTAATTTTATCAGAGTTACAATGGCAAAAAATTACGTATATTCTACTTTTATTTTTCCAAAAATATGTCGGTTTACTTTTTCAATATATAACTAGATAATATTATGATCATATGAATTATATTCCCCCATTATAATTTACAGTCAAGTGTAATAATATGTTCGAAGCGCGACCCCTCTGTCCGATACTATTTAAAACATGAAAACCTATAGCAGACAGTCTTTACGACAGAAAATTGGCACCTGTCACCTCCACTTAAACATTTAATAACATGTTCTCTACTTAGTAAATCTAGTAGTCATATTTATTAGTAAAAGCGATTATCGACTTGCCCCATAAGGTCACGAAAATTGTAAGCAGTGACCCCAGATGAGCGAGGGGCGAGTAACTGCGAACGCGACCGAACAAACGGAGAGAGGGAACTCTTCAGTCGTGTGTCAACCGCCGATGACGCCGGTCGTCCGCGCCGCGCTCCCTACGCAAATATTACGTGAGCTTCGTTATAACTCGAATCAACTCTCCGATTGAAATGTTAATTAAAACCGTGTGTGAGTAAAGTGCTTACGGCAATATATGGAGGGATAAATCTCTGTGATATGTGATGGAACAGTTTGTTTAAAAACTTAATGAGGATGTATATCTTATTAGCAGTACTGAGTTTACTTGTAAAAGGTAATATCAATTATGTGACTGAACTGTGTGCTTTAATTGTTTCGATGACAAGAGTGCTAGGTGCTTAACATTTAAAAATTATATTATCTCATTTCGTAATGTATGCGGACAATATCCCGAGTCCCGCGTTGGGCGACAATAAGCGACGGTGACAGCTACGATGTTTTAATGCAGCTCCATTTTCAATTTAGGAATAAATTGCATCAAGATATTATTCAAGGAGACCGAAGAAGCCGTTATTATAAAAAGCCATTCATCTTCAAGCGCCATCGTAGGAAAAAGACGTTCCTTAAATAGGTTTTCAAGAGATCGGTATTTATTCGAGACGATAATAAATCATTTATAATTTCTCCTAAAACTTTTACTTTTGACTTTGATTAGGATTGACATTTTAAATAGGGGATAAACAACTTTGGCCTTTCTCAGTTGTTGTGGGTAACGAGTTTAATAAAGAATCTTGAGTATTCTAAAGAAAGTTTATAGAAGTAAAGTGGTCGGTTCGAAGTCAGCTGAAAAATAAGACCTTCAATTAAATCGTCAGCGTATCTTTTATCTGGCTGGTCCCTCAGTTAGATTTATTCAGGGCAGCCCGGACCGGGGTCGCTAAAAGCAAATTGAGCCTTAAAAATACAAACTGTATCTCTTTATAATTTTTTTATGGTAATAACTAAGAAGTCTTCCATAATCGATATTCAATTTGTTGGCGACTGGTTTTCAACTGCGGAGAGAATGTAACTTATTGGAAACTTGTTCATTAAGAGTCTAGTGGACTTTACCACAAATGAAGCCATATTTTCGAAGCTTGGAATAATTTATTCTCTTTTTCGTTTGATTTCCACGGTTGGTTGGCGTTGTGGGTTATGTAACAAAACAAATACAATTCACATGCTTTTATATCGTAGTTTTTAGAAGCAACGGATATACTATGTGACATATGTTGTTAGTTCGTTTTTTCATTCCCCTCTAGGTATCACTATATCTATTTTCACATAAGCACATGAATATTTTATTAGAACATGGTTTAGTGATTCTGATTAAATGTTATTGGACCTTATACAAAATAATGCCTATAGACACAACTGTTTCGAGTCAATATTGATATTTATCTATGTTAAAAGTCTGGAATTCGTGTTTGTTTATCCTTATCACGAATTCTCGTAATATTGTATTATCGTTTACATGAGTTTCTTGAAGTACATACTTTATGTATGAATTTGGATTATAAGATATCAATCTTGCTACTATACTTGGTGATTGACTAGAATGATAAGTTGGAAGGGATATGGTTTAATTATGGAAATACATGTACATACAAATACATGTAAGAAGAAGAGTTTTTGATATCCATTGGTTTCATATCTTTCATAGATTTTATCTAATATGGTTTATATGTACTGAGAAATTCCATCTTTATCCATTCAGTAGTTTTTGAATTTGTTGAATATAAAACACTCTAAAGTTTTCGCGTTAACTGTAATTTTCATAGCATTTACCCATTTTCTCAAATACAGGAGATGGATTAGAACTTAGTAATACTTAGCTTCATTGCAAGAGAGGGATGATTACTATTAGAGGGGACTATTAGAGGGTACATCCACCTACCCTTTCAAGGAATAACATACGTGATTCTATATCATGTTTTAAGTGACTTATTTCACACTTACAGGTGACTTTTTCGTGCTCTCAAGAAGTGATTGATTAGTCTATTTGTAGTCCCGACGTAGCGAAGTTAAAATAGCTGTAAATAAGTTGTGACAGCTCGATATTTACCCGTCTGGAGGCGAACGAGTGATATACTTGCTATTTGGTATCTCGTAGTCGCCCTATTGGGAACACGTTTTTACTTTATTTTGTGTAAAAAAAAACTAATCTGAAAAACAGTTTTTGTACTTTGGTACAAGAAAATACGTGTTTTTTTAGATCGTAACACGTGTGACTCTTGTTGTTGGTATGTACTTAAAGTCCAATTTCGTTTGTTGAAAAAGTATTTGAAGAGAGCATTGAATTTTGTAGTTGTTTGAACAGTTTATAGGCCGCCTACATTTAGTCACTGTTTAATGTTAAAGGTTGAGTTGGACTTATGATATAATAGCTTCTAACACGAAACGGACACAGACTGGATTTAAAAGACTGACTTTCGTTTTTAATTTGTTGACAGTAAAGTCTGTTTTTAATGTTCATGTGTTTTGCTGGTAGAGATTTATAGCATAGCATGTTATAATTATAAATACTCACGATATAATTATATACAATGTAATATAATAACCGCCTCGTTGGCCGAGTCGTCGCAAGTGCGACTGGCGGGCAAGAGGTCTCGGGTTCAATTCCCGGGTCGGGCAAAGTATTACTGGGTTTTAAAAAAATTCTTAGTAGCAGCACGGAGTCTGGAATTGTGCCCGGTATATGGCAATAGGCTCACCCCCTATTACATAGGACTCATAACATAAATAGTGAAAAGAGGGTGTTACATTGTACAGTGACATAATGTACACCTCTGCCTACCCCTTCGGAGATAAAAGGCGTGATGTTATGTTATGTTATGTAGAATCTTGTTATTATTCCGGTTTGGTTTAATCATGAAAGGTTTCTCTTTATTTATTTGGTTATTGTTTTACGCCTTCTTTATATGTTCTGTGATTTTACGTAATATGAAGGTAGATTATCCAAAAAATATTAGTATGCTAGACCTAACTATAAGTTTGAAATCGCCAACCCGCTTTGAGCTAACGTGGTGATTGGTACTCTAACCTTGTCCGTGTGGGATGAGGCCATTAGCCAGTAGTGGCCACTTATAGGCTATTGCTGTTGATGTAAACCTAAGATACTTTGGAGTTAGATTTATTTTTAACTATATGAATGAACTAGCTTTTACCCGCGGCTTCGCTCGCGTCACAAAAGGATAAAAAGTAGCCTATGTGACATTATAGTAATACACACAGCGCCATCTATACCAATAATTTCGTTTTCCCTTGAGAATATCAAATTATTCCGGGATAAAAAGTACCGTATTATTTAATCCAGACTTCTAACTTCACGTCTGCAAAAATTCAAAGCAATCGGTTTAGTAGTTACGGCGCGAAAGTGGAAAAAACAAACAAACAACCTCACTTTCCGATTTATAATATTAGTAAGGATGAATGAATGATGAATAAATTAAAGTATTGTTGGGACTGTATCTATATTGGGCTAAAATGTGGGAGGGAAAGCTTAGTGATTTGTACAAAAAATCTGTTCAGTTATAATAATGACAGTAATTTTCCTTTTATTAAAAAACAATGGTAGCTATTTTAGGTGCGATAGCCTTTTGATAAGAATTTTAATAATTTAAAGATATTTATTTATATCGAATGTTGGGAGTATTTATATATATAGAGTAGCAGTTTGTTGTTGGACTATTTACGGCCAGTTTTAATTACATATGTATGCTTACTAGAGATGCAATTTTGACATGAGCTCCATATAATGTATCAAAATTCTATTACTATTTTTTTTTTAATTTTTCAATGTACAGAATTTACACTTCTACGGTTTTATTATATGTATCACTACATAGTATAAAACAAAGTCGCTATCCGCTGTCTGTCTGTCCCTATGTATAAAATATCTATATCTTTAAAACTACGCAACGGATTTTGATGCGCATTTTTAATAGATAAAGTGATTCTTATGGTAGGTTTATATGTATGATACATGCACATTTCACGGGGCGGGTCGTTAGTAAAATATATATTGTTTCTCAATAGCTGCCATTTTCTATTAAAAAGATCTGTAGGTACTATTAAAAGTTAGAAACAATGTTACATTGTTGGTTCTCTCCCATTAATATTCCTTTGAGCAAAATTTAGAGCCCATTTTTATCTTTACCTCTAATTCAACATAAAAACCGTTCACCAAAATATTATCTTTAAACGTCTAAAAATACCAAAAAGAAATTTGAAACTTTAACAAAATTTCAGGGAAAACAATATAATGAAAACGAACATTGAAAAAGTAAGAAAAACATCAAAAAGCCTACTAAAATTAATCTAATAACTAGTTATTTATTCAACGATACTTACTGGCTCGTAACTTTTTATTCTTAGAAATAGGTCTTGATATTATTAAAGTACTGAAATTACCTCATCAATGTTTCAAACTGTTGAATTTCTTTTAATCGTTTCGGAGATCACACGGGTTGCTATCAAGGGGTTTGACAATCACATGTTGAAAGGTTCAGATTTCTCAGAGAGCGCTGCTGCCCAGCCTTTGTCACATACATAATTATGTGTAGGTTTCAAATTCGTTGTTACGACCCCGCCAGCAGAATAGAAGAACTTTTAAACAGATTCTAAAATAGCATGCTAAAAGGCGTCCTATTGAGCATGTTCAAAAGTGTTCAAAAATCGAACGCCTGCAATGAGCTCACTAATTTTGAGCAACATTCCGATACTCATGCTAACAAGTCACAAGTGCTCAATTGAAGCATGCTTTCATGCTTGAAATTACTTTAAGGGTAAGTGACGACGACACGTTTACCGCTCAGTTTTTATTACCTATCTACATGTCGTTAGGTACTACAGGTACAAAAAGCTAGGCGCCTTTTGAAGGTTTCCCCCCGATATCAATAAAGAGGTACCCATTTCTGCATATACTGCAGCTGTAGCCAAATGCCATTTAGCTCTTGTCTACATGTAGAATAGAAAACCAAATTATATGAAAGTGACATAAGTTTTGACACTTGTCATCCCAATTGTTTTTTTTAAGGGGGGAAAATTATCGAATAACTGCTCCTGCCTAAGTGAGGCGGGAGGGACTGTTAGACTCGTACTGACTAAAAACCACCCCGTTCCTTCTCCTGCACGTCGAGCCGGAGCCCCGGTTACCCGTTAGGTTCTCCGCGACAGTGTCATCCCCATACATTTACTTTTCTATTCTCTCTGTAGACAAGCGCTAAAGTGGCGTTTGGCTAAAGGCACTGATCTTAAGTTAAACGACAGAGCTTGGACTTTTGTTAACGTAAT